TAGTCCTTGAGATCTACCTTTCTGCACTGTGTAGTTTCAACTCTAGTCGGCCACACCTGCTCCAGCTAATTAACTTCTTCAGAAGTCCTTGACTGGCTGGATCACACGCATTGGTGTTAGATGCAAGTTAGAGATAAACTCTGCAGGAAAGTAGATCTCCAGGAGGGTTGGTGGCCTGTGCTTAAGACCTTTATCAGTGGTCAGTTTCTGACCCCAGAGCTGCTCATGGCTGGATATTTTTGGATGACACTGACACCCCAGCAACACCTCCCACACCACACACCCTACACTGTCAGTGTTACTGCTGTGCTGAGAATGGTGCACCACCCAAGTATAGTCAACACTGACCAATATAAAACTGACCAATGAAGAATATTGTGCAGCAATAGACTGTAACTGTATAGTAGTCCTATAATGAGGGTGTTTCTAATAAAGTGGCCAGTGAATGGACATAAAATGTTGGTATTTCTAATAAAGTGGCCAGTGAATGGAAGTACAAGGTAGATGTTTCTAATAAAGTGGCCAGTCTGTGGAAGTACAAGGCAGGGGTTTCTAATAAAGTGGCCATTCAGTGGGAGTAGAAGCAAAGTGTTTCTAGTAAATTGACTAGTAAATAGAGGTATCCTTGGCTGCTCTGAGTCTATGGTGTATCCTAATCTTATACAGCCTGAACCTCTTAGCATGGCTACAGGCCGAAACCCAGCCTAGCTCACCGATAGCCGCTCGCAACAAATGCTAAACCCTCTCCACAATGCCCAAGGGATCGTGTTAGTTAAACACTAGCTCTTTCAGTTGACTGCATCACTGAACTTTTTACTTTGGTCACTGGGATGCTGCAAGTGAAGTTTATTTGAAGTGGGCCTTCTGTAGGCTTTCTCATGGTTTTTTAGCAAATCTCCCATTAGAAAGAGCATGGGCAGAGACGGAGAACAGCCGGCATTTCTGGATTTGTCACAGAGGAACGTGGCAGAACAGAGGGCCCGGAGCTTAATAGCTATAAAAGTTTTGGGCTGAGCTGTAAAACGCGAGAAGCTTTGCTTTTGTCCTTGTTCTTAATAGCTTGCCGTGATTGCACACAGGGAAAAGCATGCAGTGATTGCATGGAGAAACGAGCGAAGCCTATCATTAGCTAAGTGTAGCGTCTAGTGATTTACAGGTCCCGAAGTGAACTACGTCCAAATAATAGTTTAAGAGTGTTGCATTGTTGAGGAATAAAGTATGCGGATAACTGTGCTGTAGGTCCATTTTCGAGATGTATCAGTCTTCTAGAGAATTTGGTAGGCAGTTTGCTTGGTTATAATTGGCCTCTGCTGAGACAGCCTGGTATGATTTAGAATCCACACTTTGCTCTTAAAGTACCTCCTTTTAATGTCTCGCTGATGACAGGTCATGTCACACTGAGGGAATGCAGTCTTTAACCTTATCTCACCTATTGTCAGCAAACCATTCAGTGCCTTTGACTTTGTTCCATTTAACAAGGGATGTAACGGAGCATAAATGTATGTTAATTTTATTTTATTTTAGTTTACAGACCTTTTTCAGTCATTTACCCACCTTTTTAGACCAGGCTTCAAGTTTTTTGTAGTGATGCACAGATTTTTATGGACTTTTACTTAAATTTTTTTATGCTTCCGATTTCTTTACAGCCATATTGGCCGATGACCTATTTTTTGGTCTATTTTTTATTAGTATTTTTAAATACCAAGCTCACACAGTATGGAGTAAATAAACACATGAATCACACTAGCACAGTGGCTCTCTATCCTGGTCCTGGAGAACCATTGCCCTGCATGTTGTAGTGTTTTAGTGTTGTAGTGCTCCCATCACACCAAGTTGGCCTCAGAAATGGCTTGTTCATTAGTTCTTTAGTTGGATCAGATGTGTTGGGAGCAGAGGACACTTTAATATGCGCAGGGCAGTTCTACTCCAGGACCATGATTGAGAACAACTGCACTAGAACATTTCCAGTATTTTTTGTTAGCCAAACTTGAAATATAAACAACATAATTTGCTCTTTGATTGGCCAAACTAGCATTTAAAAATGTTCACTTTTAAATCAGTTCCCTATTTAAATAACAGAAAATAAAGTGCTACATTGAAAGTTAGAGGCGAGTGGCTATTTAGCACAAGTCATGCATAATTATGTTTTGGTACAGATGTAGCAGCAGCATTCAGATACAGCGAGAGCACGCTTACCTGCCTCAACATTAAAGGGCCATGGATTCACGTTTATGTTTACTATGTTTTTCGGTGATAACTATTTTCTATTTCTTGAGTTATCTTATTTTATTTTATCATTATCATGACATAACAAGCAATGTCTTTAAGAAATGACATTTAAAAATTAAGATTTCAAGAAAACATTTGTTATGTCATGATGATATGATCTCAAGTACTTGAGATCTTGAAAAAACAAATGCAAATAACTTGTTATTACAGAAGAATGGATTTAAGAAACATGCGAATCAAATCAATGGCCTTTTAGGGCTTCCATACAACACAGATTGGCTGACATAAAAGCAGTAAATTGGCCAATTGCTGATTTCATGTTTTGAGCGAAGGTCTGCCAATTCCAATCTTGGCCGAATCCATTGATAGAAAGTCAACAGGATGTTCTGTTAAATTACTATCAGAAGTTCAGTTAAGGCAGCCTGATGACAAATTTTTCACATTAAAACAGCTATTTTTTTTACAGTCTAGAGCTGACTCACTGAGTGCGTTTACAAGCACTTCATATTTTGATAACTGCAGAAAATCAGATTTTGTCAGTAATCCGATCAACATGTTTACATGCACTTGAGTAATCAGATAATGGGAAAACTCTGGGTCTACATGAGTCAGGCAGTAACCAGATTTCTGCTTTGCTACCAGCCAATAAACTCACAGAAGACATGATGTAAACGTAAAACTCGGAACTTCATGCCGTGGCTTAAAAAAAAACATTGCGCCACTTTACCTGAAAATATGAACATGCATCATCTAGAAGATGAAGAATATTTAAATCCATTATTTCATGGTTGGTTTCAGCGCCGCTCCAGAAGTGTTTTGCTGCCATCTCGCAACATCCACTGTCGGTTCTCGCGCATTTGCAGACTGAGAAATCCAATAGAAAGCAGGGTACGAGTATACATGCACTGAGAAATCTGATTACTGAGCTAACATCCAGTTCTTTTTACCAGATTTCTTAATCAGATTTCTAGATTGGAGTATGGTGTTTACATGACCATTTGAATAATCAGATAATTGCAGAAATTATGATCGGATTATTGAGTGCATGTATATGCACTCACTGATGTATTGGGATTTCTTAAAAATCAGAGTTGATGTATTTTGTTTTTACTGAACACAGCTTCAGACAGTTCCATTCTATTTAAAGGGCTCCTGGTCTGCCCTCAGCTCCACCCCCTCCACCTCCTAGTCCCATTCACCAAATGTGTAAAGAGCCAAAGAGACCTTATGATATGGGCTTATGCTTTACATTCCACAAACTCTACCAAAGAAACCATGTCAAACCCTTAAGTGTAGTCTTTTATATACGCCATACGAGTCTATTTTTGTCTAGAAACATGCACAAAATACTGCTGTGATAGTTTTCCTATAGGAGTGGAGATACTACAGTCACCAGTCAGTGTAAGATTTTCACACCATCCCACCCACTAAGTGTACATCTAAAAAATATAGGTTTAAAAAGATGTTGCACTAGAGCAGTTGTGGTGTCCACACTGGCTATTTCTTATTATAACAAGGGGATATTATGATTATAATTCTAGATATCATTCAAATATTAGAACATATATTAGCTTATCATCACTGTTGTGCTTCTTGTATCTTGTATCTCCATTTTTGTGATTTTTTACTTTTTTTGCATTATTTGAAAACTCCGGTTACCCTTTGCATTGTGTTTAAATACCATGATTAATGAACCAATAGAAATGGTCAAAAAATACTTAGAAAAAAATTTTTACATTGATTTTTTTCCATTTTGAAGATATGAGGTTTTGTTCAGACTGTGATCATATGCAGTACAGGATACCAAACTGCAGTGCAGCTCACATGACATATCTCTATAGTAGAGGTGGGTAGTTTGACAATATTTCACCATTATTGATAAAAAATAAGGTTCTCTAAGCATATTATGAATATCACCAGTGCTCGTCAGAACACTGACCAACTGGATGTGTCATTAAGATTAAAATCTGCCGTCAGAGTAGTCGGTGAACATGCATGTCCACACTGGTCAGTAAAATGGATCAGCATGTGAAATTGGAGCTTTCTGTGTGCTACCATGTTTCCTATCAAGAATATAAGAGAAGCTACATGCCTTTATTGTTGGATGCACTGAGCAAGCGTGTGCACACATTCAGAACGGAATTCACGTCGTTGATTGTTGTTCTTGCGTGAACCACATTCCTATTCATGTGTTTGCTCACTCAAAATAGTAACTTGTGACATAAACATAAAATTCAGCTTTCTAAGACCATATTCTTTAACGATATCATGGAGAAATCACATTGGTAATTTAGAAGAAGAAAAACAGATGACGTCAAGGACATCCTTTCTAAACAAACACAATCTCTGAAGCTTGTCAGATAGGAGAATGTGAAAAGTAGGGGCAGTGAAACCGATGGGAATGCCGTGTAGTGATTTTTGTAGATGTAGATAGTGATCGTATCTTTACTGTTCCTGCGTTCCTCTCTTTCCTTCCACTCCCTGATGGCCATATCTCTGTTCCCTTGCATGATGATGGCTGATAAGACAAATGGCCTACCTGGGCTTTGTCTCAACATCCTTTTATGAATGGAGACGGACTGTCTCCACTCTTTCGTCCAGGCGAGGTATTGAGGCGGAAAATCGAGATGTGGTTTCGCTCCAGGTTGACTCGGCATTGCAAATATGATATTATTAGCACCGTTATCTTCACCATGCATCAGAACTTTGGGGTGAAATAGAAGCCTTTGCTTGGTGCCATCTTTTGAGTCTGTTTTGTTTGGGTTTTGAAGGCTTCAGGGGGACAGTCTCACGCCAGGCGGAGCAGCTGAGGAACCAGCGCCCAAAGTTCCAGAGCAGGCCGTACCTGAAGTAACGTGTAAGTGTAGAGCTGCTATTCTACCCGCTCTTCTCACTATCATCTTCATATTAGAGAGGAATGCATGAAACTGGGTACAGTGTCACATTTTTGAGAGGCAGTGGACGCTTGGTAATTTGTTTTTTGTGTAGCAGTCAGTCAGCGCTATTGAAGAGACATTCTAGCCCAAGGGTTCTCAACTTGATCCAGGCTGCAGAGGCTGGAAGTATTTGTTCCAGCTGGGCAAAAAAACAGCTAATATCACTAGTGATCTAACCCCCTAAAGAATTCAACCAAATTAAAATCAAATTCACAGTTTTTCATTTAACCCAAATGTAATCAATGTTGGGATGGTTACTCAAAGACAGTAATCCATTACAAATTACTAATTACATCTCTCAAACTATAATGGGATTACTTATTACACACTGGAAAAAGTCTTATTACTCATTACCTCTGCCTTACACTCTAAAGGCCCAGTCACACTTACATTTCCTTGAGCATCAACATTTTCTGGTGAACTTTGACACGCAAATTCACGTCCTTTACCAATTTGTGCTAATGAGTAAGCTTCCATTACTTGTTAGCTATGTTAGCATTGTAGCTTCAGTGCAAAACTAAAGAAACAAACTTAAAACACCAAACATGTTTTAGTTGATTGACTACATTTGGGGTACGTGGGAAATTGTGTAACTATTGCTTGTTACACAGTTGTGCCTAACTATAGCTTTCATAGAAACAGCGGCTATTATTGGATGAAGTTAGAGCTTGGACCTGTATAGTCTTCTACTGAAGCACTTCAGTAGAGGAACAACTGTACGCACTGGAAAAAGTAAAGCTTTGAACTTTCTTGACTCAAATGTGCACAAAATTAACATTTATTACCAAAGATAAGCTGTGAAATACAATTAAAAACAGTGATTAGCAAAACAGAAAGCAGTGATTATTATTATTGTGTTTGAAATGTATTTAATTAAAAATGTACAAAAACACAACATTAGATTTTTTACCTTAAAAAGTAGTTTTTTATGTTTATATGTAAATATACGCTCATTCCAAATTTGATGCCTGCAACATGTTCCAAAAAAGTTGGGACAACAGCGTTTTCCACTATGTTATATCACATTTCCTTTTAACAACACTTAATAATTGTTTGAGGAATGACGACACCAATTGATTCAGTTTTGAAGCATTCTTCAGTTTTAGAAGTATTTGGCTGTGCAGCTGAATGGGGCCTTTGTTGGTGTACATTGAGTTTCATAATGCAACACACATTTTCGTTGGGAGACAGGCAGGCCAGTCTAGTACCCGCACTCGCAGCCATGCTGCTGTAACGTGCAGAATGTTTCTTGGCTTTTTCATGTTGAAATAAGCCTGGATATCCTTGAAGAAGACATTGCCTAGGGACAGCTTTTTGCTCCAAAATGTACATATACATCTTTCAGCAATAATAGTGCCTTCACTATTGTGAAGCTGCCATTGGCATTTATATCCTCCCATACAATGACAAGCCCTGGATCTTGAACTTTATGCTGGTAACAATCTAGATGATCTTTTTCTTCTTCGGCCCAGAGAACACAGTGTCCATTATTTCCATCTACCTGAGAGGTCAACTTCTCAAACCACAGTAAATGTTTCCGCTGTAGATCAGTCCATTCCAGATGAACTTGCACCCAGAGAAGTTGGTGGTGTTTATCTTTTTTGGAACATGTTGCAGGTATCAATTTCAGAATGATCGCACAAAACAAAGAAGTTATTAAGGTGAAACATTAAGTATTTTGTCTCTGTAGTGTTTTCTTTTAATGCAGGTCAGAGTGGATTTACAAATCACTGCATTCTTAACTGCATTTCACATACTATCCTAACTTTTTTGTTGTTTAGGTTTGTTTTTTGTGTTTAATTACTGTGGAAATGATGTACACATTTGAATCAGTGTATCACTCTTTTCAGAGTGGATGGTTAGTAAAAAGCTGCTGTATGCGTGCGTTTGGTTTCAGGTCCGTTGCCTGCGGTGACTGAGTCTGTGACTGCAGCTGAGTTGGAGCTCCAGAGCGTCTCTCAGGTTTCAGCGCAGGTAAGCCACTCCGCCCCAGTCCAAACTATCACTTTTCGGCCTTCGTTCATTTCTCCTCTATCTTCTCCATTGTGCGTGCTGTCAGAAGGACAGTTAAAACCACTTATATCACTCTTTCACATGGAGATACCCCACCCTGAGTGGGCTGTTTATCTCCTAGCTTGTCAGGTTAGTGGATAGCTTACCTCTCTAAACAATGCATAAAGGCTCTCATGGTGTGAGAGCAGCGCAGTCTTTGTTTTTGAGGAACCTTCAGGTAGAGTAATGCGACTGGAAACAGCCTCGACCAGACAGGAGCCGTGATTTGTGACTTTTGCTGCAAGTATCGCTTTGTGGAAGAAAACCGTGTACAATTACATGCACACACTGTAATGAAGTTGGCATGGAGGTTATGGAGCATACCGGTGCTGTAGCAGGGCCTGTTCAATCATGACTGTCAAAAAAAGGTGCTAGATCAGTGTTTTTCACAGGCCTGATCCTGGAGTTGGTCTACATTACACATTTTGGTGTTTTCCACACAGTTAACCTTTTAAACTCCATGTGTCTGAACTGTGAGTGCACACTTCAATTCCTCACTCTCATAATTTACACATTAGTTTTATAGTAGTTGCCAAACGCCTTAATCGACTGTTATGTGACATCACTTGTTTGGCTGTTCAGGATTTTTATGAGCAGGAGAAGTAAAATATACTTTGTGTACTTTTCCGTTTGATGCTAGAACGACCACCAGAAAACAGAACTGAACAGATTCACTGTGTAAGCCTTTCCTGTGTAAGTGAATGTTACAGGGTCTATACATACTGACATACTAACATCATAATAGGCTTCTTACAGTAGTCATAGGCATTCATAGACTTGTGATATGCTGGTTTTCATAGATCTGTTTCTCATTTGTTACTCTGCTAGGCCTCTAAAACTAATCATTGATTAGTTTTAACTAACTAATATTGATTAATCTAAATACTTCTGTCCAATAATATTTCTTTCTGTTTTTCCTATATTCACTGTTGTATCGTCCTTGGCTTGGCTCATTTGGGGCTTGGACTTTCTGTAAAGCTACTTTGTGACAGTGCCTGTTGTAAAAAGCCCTGTGTAAATAAATCTTGAATTGAGTTGAAATGAATGAATTTCGAACCACTTGTCTAGCATCATTAGCTTATTTTTAATCATATTCTGGCTTTCACAGGGCTTTTTATGTTTGGAAACATTCCATTTAGGTTTTCAGGAGCCGCTCTTATCCATAGAGACTTAAAAGGCAGGCAGTTGTTGCATGAGGAGCCATGCAAGATTGGTATAACAGGAACGTTAGTTTTAGTTTCTGAACCTGAACGAAAAAATACTGCTGTCCTGTGTAGCAGTGTGTTATTCATACTGAAGACCTGAAATCAACAACTACAGTGAACTATGTATGAATCAAAACCAATTACTTTTGAACAAATTTTTGAATGTCACTTTTTTCAGAACTAAGATTTCTGATAAGATTTTTTAATTCTCCACCTTCGCTCTCCCATTGAGACGCAGCAGAAGACAGTTATTAATATGGCTGCTGCAAGAAACAGATGAGGTGACTGAAACAGATGAATAGCAACTGCTTAATTAAATTAAAAATACAATTCAGTTTTTTTGTATTGTGCTTTAACAGCTCGTGCAAAGATTGTGAGTTTGAAAAAGCTGTTAATTAATCAGGCAGTACCATTAATACCACAGGTCGCTAAAATTGTCTAAAAGTCAACCTTAAGGTGGTAGAATGGGTGGTTTTAGAAGAGGAAAGCACTAAAATGGCCAGTGGCTGCTTGCATAAAACATCTTAAATATATATTAAGATAAATATGTCTGGGATAAAACTGTACGCTTAAAAAATGCAAGTGCTGAAATTTAAACTCAGTTTATAATTATGGATTTTTACCACTTGCCACTTAAACTTTTCCCTGAAGAGGTTTAACACAGCTCTCTTAAGGTAAAATGAAAACTTTAATTCAAGTCACCACAGAAATGGGAAAAATGATCTTGTTCTTGCCTCACAGATGGATCTGGCATAACACCACAGCTTCTTTATTGCTGGGATGTAGGCCTATGTGGTGGTAATTTGGTTATACATAGATCTTTGTTGCCATGGATTCCATAGTCAATACTGCACTCTCTCTCCTCGTCATTAGGCGCTTATTTTCCTATCAGCAGTGACACTGAGGCGAGGCTGCGCTGTAATTACAGCAGGCTGGTGTTGGAAAGTCTTTTAAGAGCGTTTTCGCTGGTGTGGTGTGCAGAGCAGATGGAGGAGGGCTCCAGACATGCTGGCATCATGCACTGTCGCGACGGGCTGAGACCCCCCCAATCCCCCCAACCCTCATCGAAAGAGCTGGTATCCACCCCCCGCCCCCCCCACCCCCCGGCCAGGAAAGGTTAAAGCAGGTCACAGAGCAAACGATGTCATATATGTGGTGCTTAACCCTCAAACGCTAGAGTTATTACTGACATTTCGCTGTACTGTTCAAATATTTGGTTTAAATGTGATTGCATAATTAAGTAGTGAGTTATGCAGTTAATTACATTTGCATTCAATTTGCATTCTGTTTTGGGTTCAAGTTGCCCTTCTGACTTCTTTGTATCTGCTTTTTGTCAAGCAATGACAAAATGTGGCAAAAATGTCTATTTTAGAATTGTAATGTCATTAAATTCAAATCGTAACAATATCAAAATATCTCCTTACAAACACAAATGTGATATATATTGGCAGGTTAGAATCTGCACTTTCCACACAATTTCTCCTCTTGTTTCCATGAGCTATGAGTGACACATTATTAATATTGAATTATAGCATGTTGTGCAATAGAAGCAGTCATGACAACTTGTAAGGGTTAACACAAAGTCACACATACAGTACTGTGAAAAAGTTAGAAACCACCCATCATTCATTTATTTTCCAGTCAAAGTACAACTTATTGATTTTTTGGTGGATATTTCTGAGGAGATTAGAATATACTTGCGTAAGTAAGGAGAAAGTCAAAGGAAAATAAGTGACAGAAGTTTCCAAAAATGTTCCAAAAATGATTAAAAGCTGCAGGGAAAATGGGACTCCTAACAACCATGCAACCGCCAAAACTGTCCCCATCAGATTAACCGCACTGAAAGCTTTCTTCTTTGAGAGAGAGGAGAAAATTAAACTCCATTCTTTCTTCAGATCTGAAAAATCCACAGCCATCCTTCCACTGTGAGAAGACAACTCAACACTATGGATCTGAAAGGATGTGTAGCTGTGAAGAAGCCCTCAATGAGAAAAGGAAATAGACAAAAAAGAAGGACATTTGCACTAGAACACTGAAATGGGACATCTGAGGCTTTATGGACTGATAGGTCTAAATTTGTAACTGGGATTTCTTGGACTGTGAAAAGCAGAATATGCAACCAACTTCTGAGACTAAACTTTGACATTATGTTTAATTTTCAAGGCTTCTGGTAATTTGCTGTGTTTTTTGCTATATTTCCTGATGCTTAAAATGATTAACTTAAAGCTACACTATGTAAGTTTTCCATGTGACCCAGAAGGATAAGCAGTTTAGAAAATGTGTGTGTTTGTGTGTGTGTGTGTGTGTGTGTGTAAGTTTTGGGGATTTGGCGACCTCTCGGATGGAAATGTGTACTTGCATGCATGTGTGGAAGAACTATTTGTGACGTGAGTTGTGCTTCAGACCTCTTGCCAGAGTGAGCAAATCTGATGATTGCAAGCACATTGAAGAGAACTCAGTCAAAACATGGTGAGGGACGTGTCTTCTGAGGATATAAGTAAATTATCGTTTATTGTTATCGTATCTTCATCAGTATAATGTTGATTTTGCATTTGAGACTTACGCATCGTAATACATATGAAAGACATATGACAAGAGTCTTTACAGGGTGACTCTCAGCATCACTTTACCCTGTCTGGCTCAGTAATACTGCTTCTTTTAATTTTAACAAAGAAAATTACATTCTGTAGCTTTAATGTCCATTTTGACTGGAAATTACATAAAGGGTAATCTCTGACTTTTGCACATTACTGTACATGAACCACATGCACACCTTTCATATTCACACAAGGGCAAGCTGTCTTTACTTTGGCATATAATTTTTGAACGAGTGAAAAAAGAAAGTGATTGAAAAGGCCTCAGCATCTGCAGGTTAAGCCACGCCAAAGCGACGAGGCTAATCTGTTCCGTATGGAGAGGCAAAGTGTGAACGTCTCAGCTCACCTACCAGCTCTTTTTTAAAGCCTAATGTGGTTGTTTTCTGTCTAATTGCTTTTTTTGGGCGCTGTTTGAAAGGCGAATGCAATTTGTCTTCCTAATGGCTTATTAGTTTAACTGGTCCTCCAGGGCTTTCTCTCTTCACCGCGCCGAACGGCACGGAAAACAAAACGTAATGCTTTTACGGGGTGACTCACTTCTTGAGACAACAATGGTTGAAGCGGTGGGTGCCGTATCTCTGCCGCTGCCCTCTTGGGGGCTTTTCTCGGTTGCAGTTAATGGCGCTGATGATCACCAACCTTACGTTATGGCCGCTGGAATATATACCGCTCTCAGAGGAATGCTCAGAGTTGTTGGGTTTGGACCAAGCGCTCGTCCAAATCAGCTGCTGTACAGCAATTCATTCTGCAGTCCAGCAGTTTTCATTTCGCGTGTTGTATATTTTCTTAACATACTCGTCAAAAGTTTGGGGACATCTCATTTTCTTTTAAAATTATCATGCCATGTTTGATTTTCAATATTATTGTGTAGTTAAGTTAGAAAAAAAAATAATAAAAGTTGTGTTAGCATCAAACAGCTGTGTGCTAATCCTATTGTTTTCCTCAAAATAACCCTGCTCAGAATTTGAAGTCTTTAAAACAACAAAAACCAGTAGAGACCAAGTAATGTGACTTATTAGCGACAATTCAGTTTAATTCATTGTAGCACTGTTAGCTTTTTTGACGGAGCTATTTGTGGGTCAGCCTCCTGACCAAGAAAACAATTCAATTGTTGAGATGT